TCTGCCTGTGATGAGAAAGTTGCTGCAGAAAACGTTGATCTTCTATTCCCAATATCAAACATTAACGAAGTAAAGACAGAAGACGAGGAAGGAAGCATGAAGCAAGACAAAGAACCCACTGAAGAATCGTCAAATAAACCAGAAGAAAGAGTAGCACCTGCACATATACAAAAGCGACATCCTGCATCACAAATCATTGGAAATCTGGAAGAAGGAATACACACCAGAGGTAAGTATTATCCAGGTCAGTATGCACTTGTCTCACTTCTTGAACCAAAAAATTATAAAGAAGCCCTATCTGATGATGAATGGTTACATGCTATGCAAGAGGAACTTATACAATTTGCAAGATTGCATGTTTGGGAATTAGTACCAAGACCTTTTAACAAACTGATCATAGGAACAAAATGGGTTTTTAGAAACAAAACTGATGAACTAGGGGAAATTACAAAGAACAAGGCTAGATTAGTTGCTCAAGGTTATTTACAAGAAGAAGGAATAGACTTTGAAGACTCATTTGCACCTGTTGCTAGAATTGAGTCAATCAGAATGCTGTGTGCCTATGCCTGTTATATGAAAATTCCCCTATACCAAATGGATGTTAAAAGCGCATTCTTAAATGGGGAAATAAATGAAGAAGTTTATGTAAGCCAGCCCCCTGGCTTTGTAGATCATAAATTTCCAGATCATGTCTACAAACTATCAAAGGCTTTATATGGCTTAAAACAAGCTCCTAGAGCTTGGTTTGAGAAACTATCCTCATTTCTAAAAGCTGAAGGGTTTGTTCAAGGAAACGTAGACAAAACACTGTTTATTAAAAGGAAAAACAAAGACACACTGGTGGTACAAATATATGTTGATGACATAATATTTGGTTCAACAAGTCCAAATATGTGCACAAACTTCTGCGAATTAATGAAGTCCAAATTTGAAATGAGCATGATGGGAGAATTATCACATTTCCTAGGTCTACAAATCAAACAAACAAAGTCAGGGATGTTCATAAGTCAGACCAACTACATAAAATCCATGCTCAGCAAATTTAACATGGAAGCAGTAAGTTCATGTCAAACACCAATGGCCACTAATTTAAAACTAGATAAAGATGAAACTGGTATTCCTGTATGTGAGAAAAAATATAGAGGAATGATAGGTTCTCTTCTATACCTAACCGCAAGTAGGCCAGATATCCAGTTTAGTGTTGGGGTATGTGCTAGATTTCAATCTCATCCTAAAGAAAGCCATTTAAAAGCTGTAAAAAGAATCTTCAGATATCTTAAAGGAACAGTAGAAGTAGGACTATGGTATCCATTCTCTGATTCCTTTGAACTAACTGGATATAGTGATTCAGACTTTGGAGGCAGTTTAGTGGATAGAAAGAGTACTTCAGGAAGTATTCAGTTCTTAGGACCTGCTCTAGTTTCATGGCTCAGCAAAAAGCAGGGTGCAGTTGCACTATCAACAGCTGAAGCAGAATACCTCGCAGCTGGAAGCTGCTGTGCCCAAATTATGTGGATGAAAACCCAACTAGCTGACTATGGTTTTAAAATTCAAAACATTCCAATCTGGTGTGACAACACTAGTGCAATCTGTATGACAAAAAACCCAGTACAACACTCTAGGACTAAGCACATAGATGTAAAATACCATTTCATAAGAGACCTAGTTTTGGCAGGGCATGTTTGCTTGCAATTCATACCTACTGAACAACAGCTGGCCGACCTATTTACAAAGCCTTTACCTTGCGAAAGGTTTACTCAACTTTGTACTGAACTAGGGCTGAAATCTTTTAATCAAATCAAGGATCTATAAAAAAATCACGCCATGGGAGGGTTACAATCTAGGCATCCTGTTTATCTTGATTCACTTAACAAAATCTTGCTTTTTCGGCTCATGCGTATTCTTTTTCCTTTTCCTGCAATGATTACCCTTGGATAAGGGAAAACAGACTCTTCGACTTCCAACTCTTTCCCGCTCCTCCTCAGCTCCTTAGTCTATTTAAGGTCTTCCTTCTGATCACTATTCCTCACTGCTCTCATAAAACACAAAACACATCTAGCAAAACCAAAAATGAGCGATCAATTACCTCGTCCTTTTCGTTTTGATGGGTTGGTCCATACTTACCCAGGCTATATGTTCCACGAGCCTGTGGTAATAAACCACCATCGTCACTTGCAACACTTTGAGAGTAGGAGGTTGCACCACAATGTCCAGATCGACCCCTATGAGTTCAACTTCTATAGGTACGACATCATGTCCCTTATAGAAGCACTAGGATGGGACTTTCTTATTCGGCAGCCGCTTCATCCTGCCTGTCCTGGTGCAGTCAAACATTTCTACTCCAATCTTCGCTGCCAAGGAGTCAGTACCAGAAGCTTCTCCACTGTCATCTATGGTCATCTCCTGACCATCCCAGTAGGAGCTCTCAGTGGGATCCTTGGGTTCCCATCTCAAGGAATCGACATAGCTCACCCATCAGAATTCTGGAAACAGAATTTTATCCTTCCCACTGAATACTCAAACTTCTCCACCGAACCTACAGGAGGAACAGACGTGCCAATTCCTGTCAACTGGCTGACGCCCCGTTTGAGAATCTTCCATCACTTCATCACTCATGTTTTCTTCCCAAGAACCTACAATCTGGATGTAGTTCTGCCGCTTGACTTGTGGATCATTGCCAGTGCCACTGCTGGTAGAAAACTGGACTACTCCAGTTTGATGTTTGGAAACCTCCTGCCAGTTGGAGATGAGCATTATCAGGGATTAATGCCTTTCGGATCGATCATAACCCGAATGCTCATTAACCTAGGTATTGACCTATCTGATCACCGCAGTGTATCACATACCATGTATGTAGGAGCACTGAATGTGCTAATGGTTCTCGATCTCCCCACAGACTCTGCTCCACCTCCACCACTTCCTTCAAGCTCCATTCTTGGTGCTCGACCAAAATCTGCTGAGAGCAACAAGGGAAAGTCAGTCATTGGAGAGTCCAGCAAAAATGCCAACCTTGTATTCCATATATCTGATGGGAACTCTTCCTCAGATGAAGAAGCTGCTTCAGACCCCGAAAACCCAACTTCTCCAGTCTCTTAAATCTTCCATGCCGTTTCTAAGGGGGAATCCCCCTTCTAGTTTTAGGTTCTCTTAGCAGTAGTTTTAGCTTTGTAGTACTTTTAATTGCTCGCCTAGTTAGATGTATGCTCTTTCCCAGGGGGAAGTATTTTAGAAGTGTTTCTTAGTCTCTCTATTTTGTAAGCCCCCTGTTTATTAATGCAAGTCTTTATTTCCTTTCGAGTGCTGCTCTGTGTTGTGTGCTATGTTTTGCAGAGACTGTTGGACTTGTCGGACGAAGGGGGAAATTGATGCAAGCAAGAAGGATACCGTACGCGTCAAGCTAGCTAAACGGTGACGTTTCTACCTCTACTGACCAACCTTACAACACGTCGTCGTCTTGACATCAACGGACAGAAGCAGACGAGTCGTCCTTCCAAGTCTTCGACTGAAAGCTTCGAGATGATCAAAACCTAGCCACCCACCTATACTCCTCCAGGAGCGGAACATAGCAAGCCATATCTGGCAAATCGATTTCCTCAAGAAATCGATCTTCAGAAGGAACATACTCAACCTCCAGAGAGTCAATTCCCAGAGGAGCGTCTTCATTCAAGCCAACGGTCATCTTCTTCCTTCTAATATAAATAGGTCTGTTCTTTCTTAATTAGAATTTGACTGTGTGATTAGAAGAAAATAGCAGAGAGCATATTTGTCTTCTTTGAGTCCACTTTGTAATCTCTTCAAGCAACTTAGTTCACAGTGCGATGTGCTGGGTGAATTAGGTTTAGGAAGAGAGGTTTCCTCAAGTTTGTTTTCTGTCAAAAGGCCAACGTTGTTTGGCGTAGCCTACGGGCTCGGTGTATTTCGTCTACTCTTTGTAGTTCCTTTTTTTTTAATCAATATAATTTCCTATTCACAGAGTGTCTAAGAGAAAGAGAGATTGAGTAGAGTGTGAATTTGAGAGGATTTCTCCAATTCAGGTTTCTTCACTTACCCCTTCATTTTTGCTCCCTCACTTTGCACCTCTTCTCATAGAGAGTGTTAGAAAATTTTCCTGCAGTCCAACTTTGATAATTGCTTTATCCAATTAGTATACCAAATGACTCTATTTTTATCTTCTTTAAAATTAACAATGCCATGAGTAGGGTTGTAAGTTTGATTTTAGTTTTTTGTTTTATACCAAACCAAATCGATAAGAAGTTTAATGATTTTGCTTTTTTATTTTAAAATTATTTAACTTCTCAATGATTTTACTTTCGGTTGAAACCGAAAAACCAATAATAGACTAAAAATACCCTCACTAAGTCGAAACCTGTCACCAACACACATTGTCACCACCTTAATTACGCATAGTAGACTTATTTCCTATCTTTATACTTCTTATTGTCTTTTCTTTTCTGGCTCCAATTCTAGACTTCCCAAACTATGAGTTTGGTTTTAAATTTTTTGATTTATCTAAACAAAACTAAAACCGTTAATCGACTCATCGATTTTTGCTTACCAATAATCAATAAGACCTTTAAAAATTTTGATTTTATATTTTTTGAAAATTGTCTGATTTGATTTTTGATTTTTTACGTTTAATGATTTAGTTAACAAAACTTACGGCCCTAGCATGAGGCATAGACTTTCAACAACGAACAATTTGATTAGGCGACTCAACATTGAAGACTTTAAAGTAATATTCTTTTCCTAAGTTGAAAAATACACCATGCATTAATTGTGTGGACTATTGGAGTACACTTCCCCATCACAGTTCTCACTTCTCAGTATATTATTATTATTCCAAACCGAGACCGACGCACCAACTTGCACTAAATTTTCCACAAGTGCTTAAAACAAATACAAATAAATAGCTACTCCCCCCATGGCTTCCCTCTCTTCACTTTCACTTTCCCCATTTCATTGCGCACTCTGCAAAGCGACATTTCCATCAGGCATCAGCCATGGCCAAGTCTCTCCATATCTCTTCCTTCCTCCTAACTCTCCTCATCCTAACCTCCGCCCTCTCTTTCTCTCTCATCACGGCCAAGAAACCTAAATCCCGTGATGGCTACTCCCGGGTCCTGTCTCCGGCGACGCTCCGCCTCAAGAAAGAGAAGCTCAGCCACCTCCGCTTCTACTTCCACGACATCGTCGCCGGACCCAACCCAACGGCGGTGCAAATCGTCCGGGCCCCCTCCACCAATCTCTCGTCTACGGGCTTCGGCATGGTGGCAATGATCGACGACCCACTCACGGCAGGGCCCGAGCCCACTTCCAAGCTGGTGGGCCGGGCCCAGGGGATCTACGGGTCGGCCTCTCTGGGCGATGTTGGGCTGCTTATGGCTCTCAACTTCGCTTTCGTGGACGGCAAGTTCAACGGGAGCACGTTGAGCATTCTGGGGAGGAACGCGGTGATGTCGCCGGTGAGGGAGATGCCGGTCGTCGGCGGGAGCGGGGTTTTCCGGTTTGCTAGGGGATATGCTCAGGCCAGGACCCGGAAGTTCAACCTGAGGACCGGGGATGCTGTCGTCGAGTACAATGTTTATGTCTTCCATTACTAATGATTTCAGCTACACGTTTGGAATTTTTGGTTCGTTCGTTGATTCCATCGGCAGCTATAAGGAGTTTCCTTTTATGATGTGTTGACTTCCGGCACGTTATATCACACTTTTTGCTATTATTATATTTAGTACAGATTTTCCTCTAAAATGCACTTAAACAAAACAATTCTCAGTATACAACACTTTCACTGAAATTTCCCAAACTATTAGAGGTTGGTGCTGTTTGTTGTTGTCAAAGGCGAACATGTGTATTACATCGTCGAAATCAAAAGCGATTTATGTTAATCGCCGGTTACAAAAGCGATCCGGCGGGGATCGCTGGTGCACCAGTGAACTACGAGTACGTAGGTCGCTCTACTAGCGAGCGATCCATGGTTTTGGTACTTTGTGGTATGTTTTGATTCATATATGGCGGCTTCTATGGTGTACTCACAAAGTGAGTACATACTAAACACCCAACTCGAAAAGTAGTTTTAAGACATCGAATTTTGAATTTTAATTGGTAGCATTAATATAATATGATGATATAATATAGTATTGTAACTAATCAATCCATTATTCTAAGCTCTAACCTTCAATTTTGAACATTAATGCTAAATCCCAAGTTGTAAACCCAAGCCATAGATTTCAAAACTTTAAATTCTTCAAATCAAAGAACATTATGAATGTTTTTTGCGCAAACTCGTGTGTTTACTTTTCCATCATAACATAACTAATGATTAACATCATTTTGACAAGAATCGGCTTCATAGAATTATGATTACGAGGTGAGTGCATAACATGCACTAAAAAAAGTGAGTCCAGGGAGAAAAAAACCATATGTTAAATCAAAGCAGTGCATACCATTTGCATAGTTGGAGTTGGTAAATTGCTAAGTCAGTTATTTATTAAAGTATTTCCTTAACATATATACACATATTACTTATATTTTCATCTACAGTTTATCTAGTATTAATAAGCTAAGTTACGATTAATTTTAATTTTGTATTTATCTAGTATTAATGCAATATGATACTACAATATCTTGCTTGTTTTTATTTTATATAGCGTTGCATTACTATTTTGTATTTATTAAAAGTACAATTTTTTTTTTGGTAATATATTGAATTTTCATCGAATTCCAACCCAAATCGTGACTTTGTAAACTGATATGGTTTTGAGATTTAATAGGCGAGTTTGGGTTTACAATGATTCAACTTGATACTAATTGGTTGGGTGATTAAAAACCGATTCTGCCGACCCACATAGAGCGCGCGGATCAAGATTCTCGCATGATGCGGCAGCCCAAAAAATTCATCCCAGTATGGAATTCAAGAACCAAAGCAAGAGAAAGAGCAAAGGCCAGTCAAGTAACTTTGCCTCTCAGGAATTCGGTGAGCATTATACGCGTGAACCAGTATCTTTAGAGAGCTGTATGTCTTGTTTAGAATGTGTGGAACTTCCTCTGTAACACAGGGCCTACGGTCACATACAACGATGTTATGGAATTGGAAAATGTTTCACAAGTATGTTTCTTGCCACACAAGTCATATATAGAAATTGACACATGCATAAACAAAGCCCGAGCCAATAAAATTCACTATTTTTTCATAATAAATTTAGTTCCCCTCTATGGTACCCAAGGTTATTGGAACTATTCCTCCCAGGATAGAACAGACGTACCTTTTCTGGGGTACCGGTACTTGAAAAACCAAAACCCGACGAACGCAACGATCGGAGAGAAGTCACACGACTCTGTTTTCTTTATGAGTTTGTAGAGAGGAAATGTAATGAAGAATAAAAAATTCTTTTTCTTTTGACCAGAATTTTTTTTTGGGAAAAACTTGTGTTAAAAACAGAGGGGTAGGTGTTCATTTATAGACAATGAAGGGGTGCGAGTGAAGGGATGTGACCCTTCAAGTGGGTGGTTACACCCCAACCACTGCAATGGTTCACAAAAAAATCCAACCATTGCATCGGTTCACCATAGTAGTTGGTTGGTTCATTCCAACCGCCACATCGGTTCGGTCCGATTCGGTTGAACTTGGTTTAACCAATAACTCACTAACTATTGGCTTCTTCCCCTTTCATTCTCATTCACACCTTTCAAATCCCAACAATCCCCCACATGAAAGAGAATGCTAAGTTTTGAAAACTATGCAAAAAACTGTGTGACTCTCAACTAAGAATTAGTTGTATTAGGATAGGTGGGTTTCCCTTTGAACCTTCCCTAGTGAACATATATCGAGTATACTCACCAATCAGTAGATATGATATCTTTGAACCGTCGATTTTCTTGTATACTAAGACAACATATGTCACACAACCAACTCTTATCCGTTCGTTGGTTCTCATTGTTGTTTTCGTTTCAGCCATGAACACCGCCTGGTTTCATGAGTGCGTAGAGAATTGGCCTTCTTTTATTCTCCTTGAAGCGGCTCCACTTCACACTCACATAGGTGATTTCTAAACATGTATTCCGAAAATACACTATTTGATCACACCACGTGTCAAACTTAGAAACCATTAAAAACCTTTCATATTTAGGTTTACCCTTATTTTTGGACATTATCTTATCATGAGAATGGACTTTAAATAATTTGACAATGTCGGACCATCATTCACAACTTTGTTTGCTCCTTGAACCTAGAGGTTGGGTCTGCCAATCCTACTTAGGTAGAGTTACCGCCATGATGATTTGTCCTAGGCCACAGTCCCATTCCCCTCGATGACTTCTCAACTAATGCTCTAGTTAGGCCTTTAGTTAACGGATCCGACACGTTATCTCTTGATCTTACATAATCAATCGAGATAACTCCACTAGAGATTAATTGCCTCACTGTGTTATGTCATCGACGTATGTGACGAGACTTTCCATTATACATAACACTTTTTGCCCTTCCAATAGCCGCTTGACTATCACAATGTATGCTTATTGGGATTAACAGCTTGGGCCAAAATGGAACATCTTCCAAGAAGTTCCGAAGCCATTCCGCTTCTTCACCGGCTAAGTCCAAAGCTATGAACTCAGATTCCATTGTGGATTGGACAATACAAGTATGCTTGGAGGATCTCCAAGATACTGCTCCCCCACCAACCGTAAATACATATCCACTAGTGGATTTGATTTCGGTTAAGCCGGTGATCTAGTTTGCATCACAATATCCTTCAAGCACTGCCTGATAGCTTTTGTAGTGCAAACCAAAATCTTTGGTATGTTTTAAATACCCCAAAACACGCCGCATTGCCATCCAATGTGTGCTATTTTGATTACGTTGATGTCGACTCAATTTACTTGTTGCACAAGCAATATCTGGTCGAGTACTATTCATGATGTACGTTAGACATCCCAAAACTCGTGCGTAATCCTCTTGAGATTTACTTTTACCTTCGTTCTTTGTAAGAACAAGGTTTGGATCAATCGGCGTGTGCACTTCCTTGATATGCAAATACTTGAATTTATCAAGAATGTTCTCTATGTAGTGAGACTGCGATAATGCTAGACCTTGAGGCGTTCTAGATATCTTTATTCCAAGAATAACATCCGCCTCACCCAAGTCTTTCATGTCGAAAGATCTTGATAGCATTCGCTTTGTCTCTTCTGTGTCAATAATGTTATTACTCATTATCAACATATCATCTACGTATAGACAAACAATGACTTCGTGATTAGGTGTGTTCTTGATATATACACACTTATCACATTCGTTAATCCGAAAACCATTTGACAACATAACTGCGTCAAATTTAGCATGCCATTGTTTGGGTGCTTGTTTAAGTCCATATAGAGAGTTCACCAATCTACACACCTTGTGTTTTTGTCCAGGGACAACGAACCCCTCTGGCTGTTCATGTAGATTTCTTCCTCCAGGTCGCCATTTAGAAAGGCTGTTTTTACATCCATTTGATGGATTGTAGACCATACACGGCAGCCAAAGCAATTAGCATCCGAATAGATGTAATTCTTGTGACTGGGGCGTATCTATCAAAATAGTCACGACCTTCCTTTTGTTTAAATCCTTAGACCACAAGTCTTGCCTTGTACTTGTCAATAGTACCATCATCTTTCAACTTCCTTTTGAAGATCCGTTTGTATCCCAATGGTATGCAACCGGGAGGAAGATCCACCTATTCCCATGTTTGGTTATTCAAAATGGACTCAATTTCACTATTGACAGCATCCAACCAATATTGAGCTTCAGAAGACTTCATCACTTCTTCAAATGTCTTTGGCTCATCTTCCAACAAAAATGTTAAGAAGTCGGGACCAAATGACGTAGGCACCCTTTGACGTTTACTACGTCGTGGCTCATCAATACTGGAATCATTTTCCAATGAATCATCCCGAGGTCGCTCGGAGTTTTCTCCAACGACTACATCCTTATTCTTATATGGAAATATGTTCTCAAAGAACTCTGCACTATCAGATTCTATAACCATATTAGGATAGATGTCGGAGATTTCTGATTTATAGACCAAAAATCGATATGCTTTGCTATCATTGGCATAACCAATAAAGATGCAATATATTGTTTTAGGTCCCAATTTGACCTGTTTCGGTTTTGGAACTCGAACCTTTGCCAAACAACCCCACACTTTGAAGTAATTCAAGTGTGGTCTTCTACCTTTCCATTTTTCATACGGAATGGTTTGCGTCTTACTGTACGGTACTCTATTGAGTATTTGTGTAGCAGTAAGAATAGCTTCCCCCCACAGATTCTAGGGTAAACCCGAATTTAGGAGTAAAGCATTCATCATGTCCTTCAAAGTTCAGTTCTTCCTTTCCGCAACTCCATTTTGTTGTGGGGTATATGGAGCCGATGTTTGGTGAATAATTCCATTGTTCACCATCTCTATCACTTCTGACCATTTTTATTTTCTTGTTGAGTTGGTTCTCAACTTCGGCTTTGAATTGTTTGAATGCATCAATCTCTTCATCTTTGCTACTTAGCAAATAGACATAGAAATATCTAGTGCTATCGTCGATAAATGTTATGAAGTACTTTTTCCCACCTCGAGAT